AAATCAGGAGTTGGTCTTTGTTCCCAGGTCACTCGGTGGCTAATCTCTCCCAGGCTGAGGAGGCTGTTCAGCACGGTGCTACCTTCATCACTCACCTCTTCAATGCCATGTTGCCAGTGAGTACTGAAGGGCACTTGCCCTGCACTGGTATTGCTTTTGGTGCTTTCTGGGCTGCTCCCCACAGATGCATGTTCTCCCCAGCTTGTTTCGTACCAGGCCTTGCAATGAGGTTTCAGCACTGAACCTCTGGCTTCACGTTTCTACTGCCTGATCTAAAAGAGAGTTAAGGCTGTAGCGGACTCTTGAAATTCAAGGAAATGTGCAGATGTGTCTTGGTAAAGGTCAGAGCGCCCAACTGCCAGGCACTGTTTGATAGAGATGGCAGCTGTGTCCCCTGATGGGAAGGGTCTCAGCCCAAAAGCCCTGGTGATGCTCCACAGCTTGTCCTCTCTCCCCTCGGGCAGTTCCACCATCGTGACCCTGGGATTGTGGGGCTGCTGACAAGTGACAAGATTCCTGCTGACAAGGAACAAGATTCCTGCGGGGCGGAGGGTCTTCTACGGCATGATCTCTGATGGCATCCACACCAACCCTGCTGCCCTACGAATTGCCCACCGAGCCCACCCCAAAGGTGAGCCATGCCAGGCCCACACAGCGTCACCAGCCATCCTGAACGCTGTGCCATCTCCCACGAAACACTCACCCAAGTGCTGTGGCGTGCTGCCTGAAAGAGATCACAGCCATGCGTGCTGATTCACCAGCCCTCTTGCTTTGGTCAGATGTGGCTACAGACACCTTGACCCCTCTCTGTGAGGGCCAGTGGGGCACAGGGCTCAGAGCTGCAGCAAGATCAGCTGCTAAGCTAATGCCGCCTCTTTCCTTGCATTCCTCAGGCCTGGTGCTGGTGACGGATGCGATTGCTGGCATGGGGCTGGCACCAGGTCGTCACACGCTGGGTCAGCAGGTGGTGGAGATCGATGGGCTGAACACCTACATTGCAGGTAGGTGCCTCTTGCTGGAGAGCTGGGGACAGTTCTGCTACTCGTGCCTGTTCCTGGAGAGCTCAGCACGCCTTGCAGTGCCTGTCAGTGTGAGGCAGTGCTTGTGCCGCCCTTTTGGGTTTTGGTGCCAGATGGCTCTGCAGTGACTTGGCCCTGGGGAGAATGAGGCACCTCGTAAAGAGGGGAAGTGCCCCATCTTCGTGCAGGGAGGAGGAATCTGTCAACTTGTAGCTGTCTACGACACCTTTGAATGCCTTGTTGCCCAGTGTCATGGATGCCAGAGGTTCCAGCAGGGTCAGAAAGGACAGAGAAATCCTACAGAGATTTATTGTCCATTGTCTGTAGTATAACACTACCACTTCTTGCCAGGTTCCCGGAGCTGCAAGCAGTTGGAGACTGGGAAGGTATTTCAGAGAAGGATCATTCCATTCTCAGTTCCCTTCCTGTGTCAGTGGAAGCAGGTGCCTGCGTTGTGAGCTAGTTTTACCCAGCCCAGCTGGTCTTACGGTGGAGCTGCAGGGTGACATCCCGCTGCCTCTCCCTGCGCTGCCAGCACAGGCTCTCTCTTGCCTCGTTCTGCCACTCAGCAGCAATGGCTGTGGGCCCTTCCACGTGCTGCTTGTGCAACCCAGGATTTCTGTGCCTTCTGGTCACGTTATGCTTTCCAGCCACCCTGCTTCTCCTTGCTATGAGTTGTGGGACCTGCTCAGCTCTATGCTGTTCCTCTTCCAGGCACGAAGACCCTGAGCGGTAGTGTGGCGACCATGGACACGTGTGTGCGACACTTCCAAGAAGCCACGGGTAAGTGAGCCTTGTCCACAAGCCGTTGCTCCCTACGTTGGCACAGCAGGAGGCGTCGCTCTTGCCCGCTGCATCCGCTTCACCAGGGAACGTTGCTTCTCGCCTGAGATGTGATGAGAAGGGCTGGGATCAGCAGCACTGGCCTCAGATGAGCACCTTTTTGAAGGGAGGTTTCACTTTAAGCCATAGCACTAATGAGAGGTGAACCCTCCTGCTCCTTCCTCACAAAGGTGAATGATTTTCCCCTCCTCATACCCTGTTCAGTTTTCCTTTTCCCACTGTCTCCTGTAGGGATGTTTTTCCTCCCCAGCTCCGTCCGGCTGTGGTGAGGGTCTTCCAGCTCGGGTCTGTGCCAGGCTGACAGTTGCCTTAGCCAGTGGGGTTTGGGCTGCTCTGGCAACAGGGCTGTTTTCTGCCCTAATGTCTCCCTCCTTCTCTGTCCAAGGGTGCTCAGTAGAGACCGCGTTGGAGGCAGCATCTCTGCATCCTGCCCAGCTCCTGGGGATTGAACACAAAAAGGGGACACTAAATTATGACTCCGATGCAGGTACTGGTATGGGGACAGCAGGTACTGGAATGGGTAGAACAGTGTGAGGGCTCCCAGTTGCTGGAGCAAAGCAGGGGCTGCTGCGAACACATCTTTGTCCCGTGCTTCAGTGGGAGCTGCAGGGAGATTCACTCTCCCTGGGATTTGCTCTGGGCTTTTGGTCCAGTGGTTTTTCCCTTGGATGCTGGTGGTGTCTCGTGAGGCCTTTGGAGAGACCCCCACATCTCGGACAAGCATGGTGCAGAGCTGCCATAGCAAGGATGGCACCATGCTGCTGTCCTGCTTGCTGTTTCTGGGGTGGGGAGAAGCTTTTCCCCAGAGCCCAGCTCTTCCCAGCCAGCTTCAGCTGCTCCGTTTCTCTGACAGCTGCTTCCTTTCTCTCTTGTCTGATGCAGATTTCCTGATGCTGAATGACGATCTGTATGTGCAAGCCACATACATTGCAGGCAAGGAAGTCTGGAGACAGGATGCGTTAGGCATGTGACACTGGGCTGTCCTGGTGCCCTCCGAGGCTCCCTGGCACCGTGGTTAGCAGCTTTGGTAACCACTCCACTTCTCTTTTTTTTTTTTTTTTTAATTCCTTCCTGCAACTCCCTTAAAGGAGCCTCATACCAAAGAGCTGCGTTTTCCAGCGCAACTGCTGCTTCCAGTTACAGCCATGCCTGCAACAAATTTGTTGGTGCTCAGTTGGTGGAGTGGGGAAAGCAGGCAGATCTGTGCTGGGGGGGATTGTCAGTCCCCAGAGTGACCTGAAGGACTGCACAGTTGTCCTGCATGGAGTCCCCAGACAGAGGTGCTCCTGTTGCTGTCTTACAGCAGTGTGAAGCTGTCCCAGCCTTTGCACGGTTCTATACAGCACACACTAACCTGCCCCGTGCCCGAGGCAGGCTCAAGCCATTTCCATTCCTCTGCCTGCTATTTGCCTCGCTCCCAGGCAGCCATGGCTGGTTAGATATCAGCTTCCACCAGCTCAGCTCGCAGCTCTTCATGTTAAAAGGTTCCTGTTGTGTCAGCAAGAAGTCGAGGATCACGTTCTGATTCCCCGGACGTCCCTCTGTCGTGTGTCCTTGGAGCAAGGCTGTCACAGCTCGCCAACTCGGTGCCATTGTGGAGCTGTGAATCCATGTGGGCTGAATCCTCAGGGCAGAGATCAAACCCAGGAAAAACGAGGCATTGCTGGTCCTTTGTGCCTTTTACCTGCATGGGCATTGAGTCCACAGCACGTGGTTTCGGCTGGAGACATGGACAGCATCCTGCCACAGAAAGCGATGTTCCTCTTAACCCATAGTTCTGGCTAGATGGGTTCTGCAGGCTCTATGCCCAGCCATACGTAGGAGAGCCTCTGCATCGTGTGATGGGTTTGTGCATTCCTCAGGCCGCAGATGGGAAGCTTTTGCTTTAGGGGATGCATCCAGACTGGTAGTGATGGGCTCACAAGCCCTTGGTCCAGCTCAGGGACTGAGGGAGAGAAGAACTGCAGTGGGATTCTGGCCTTTCAAGACAGTTGATAGTTCATTATTCCTGTGCTCATTATTGTCTTCCCCAATACTTGACTGTCAGCTCTTTTCCTGACATTTGGGCACTTCTACGTGAAGGCTGATACTGATTTTGAACCTACTGCAGTAAGAAAAGCCCCGTCTTAGACAACTTCTGCCAAGCCTCAAGCCAATTAGATGTTTTTTGTAGTGAGGGAAGGGCTTAGACAAGGGCTAAGTCTTAGCAAGGCTGGAGGTTGTAAGGCAAGACAAAAATCTGGTCAGAATTGGCAGAAGTGTGACGATTTTTCCAGTACTTTTTTATAACCTTTAGCAGCAACATTTGGAAGTGCTTTCCTAGCACTTTAGAGCCCTGCTGGAATAACTGGCAGCCTTGGAGAATTTCTAACATCAACTGCCAATGTCAGCAGAAAGAATAACCTCCACCATTTGAAGCATTTGAAAGAGACATCAAGTACTGTGCTGTGAAATGTGACATGCTACAGCATTACAAATCTCAGCGGGGCCGCTTTTGACTGCTGTTGAAAAAAATCCAAGGGAAAAAAATGCATATGAAACAAGGTGTCTAACTTTTTTTTATTTACAAAATTAAATAATCAAGAGGAAATCTAAAATAGAATGGAATTAGACAATAGCTGTGTGTATGTGTACTACCCTTTTTTGTCTGCTGAAAATACGCTGTACGCTACCCGTGGTGGTGTATGGTGGCATGGCGTGTATCAGGCGGGGATGCGAGCTGCCAGTGGCACTGTGGGCCTTGGGCCTCTGCGTCTGGATGGGGACGGTGCTTATGTGGCCGCCCCTGTGCGTGCCATGGGATTTGGTCCCATGGAGGGAGGCCACGGCTGGAGAGACAGCATCCCAGTGGAGGACATGTGGCCCAGCAGCTCCCTGTGGGGCTCAGGGGAGAGGGAGGCGAGCTCGGGGGGGACA